AACATACGACATGTCTACACATCTTCTTTCCCTTCATGTTCTTGTCCTTATTTGTTCAAAGATAAAATAATTAGCCAGTAACTTTATCATCATCAAGTGCCTTACCAGCTGGCGTAGGCGTTCATGCGTAGCCACAGATCTTAGTCTTTTGTGTTCTAAATCAATTTTACTGATGATATCCCTCCATGCCACTGTTTCAAGCCATTCACCATCATTTCTCTGTGTCTGCCTCTGTCTCTTCTACCAGTGATCTTTCCAGTCGTCCCGAGATTTTCCAGTGCTCATTTTCTCAACACATGACCAAAGAACTGTGTTTGTCTCCTTCTCATTGTTGTACTTGAATTTATTTGTTTATTTAAATTTTTTTAGCGTCACTTGTGCCATTAAAATGTAGTCTATTCTTCATCTTCGCCTTTTCCTTCTTGAAGTCCATGCTGTTTGTCTGTAGTAGTCATGTGCAGTGGTATAGTCAGGTCAGGTGGTACCCGGTGCGGAAAGTGTCCTGTCACTCCGCTACACATACATACACACACACACAAGTTGTATGTTACAACATATATTTTGCCACCCTACCTCCCCCTTAGTAATGACACATGGGTGCGGCCCTCATCCTTCGCACGTGCCCTGCTCCGCGTTTGGTCATAGCTATCCCCAACCGTCTGTACTTCCAATGAATTCTGACACACACATGATCGTCCATGCCGTGATGTCAAACTGTCCAGCATCTTCAAGCCTGGCACAGTACCAGGCCCTTTTCCCCGAAAGAGCCCAAACTAAGTTACAGATGTTTTCACTGCCTCGACTTGTGCAGGACCAAAGGTGCACAGGGGTCGTAGGTCTGGCCGCTTGGCATGGCAGTGAAAACCAAACTGGGTGAACTATGAAACAATGCGTCGCACTACAGACTTCAAAGAGGCCTCTGACCGTCTCACCTGAAAACCCCTCAGGGAAAATTACAAGAAAGAAAAACTTTTGTATGCAGACTCTTGGCTCGTTGGCTGTCAGGCAGATGTATTAATGCTTTTTTTTTTTCAAACACCTTTTTCTGGGGAGACAGTCGGTCTATTTTGTGTGTTCATCCCTTTTACTGGCTTTTTTGTGTGCAGTTGGTTGTTTCTTGCGGCTCTGGCAGATGCACTACGTGTTCGAATGGTCCCCAATTATTCGACTCATACGACATGCTTTTGGGAAGGCAGTGGGTATGTTCTTGTTTTTCCCACAAATGAGTGCCAGAACCCACACAAGGAGAAGAAGTAAAGGCGTCTAAATGAGATGCTCACCGGCAATACCAGCCTACGGGACAATACCAGCCTACGGGACAATACCAGCCTACGGGACAATACCAGCCTATAGGACAATACCAGCCTATAGGACAATACCAGCCTATAGGACAATACCAGCCTACAGGACAATACCAGCCTACAGGACAATACCAGCCTACAGGACAATACCAGCCTATAGGACAATACCAGCCTACGGGACAATACCAGCCTACGGGACAATACCAGCCTACAGGACAATACCAGCCTATAGGACAATACCAGCCTATAGGACAATACCAGCCTATAGGACAATACCAGCCTACAGGACAATACCAGCCTACAGGACAATACCAGCCTACAGGACAATACCAGCCTATAGGACAATACCAGCCTACGGGACAATACCAGCCTACAGGACAATACCAGCCTAAGGGACAATACTAGCCTAGGGGACAATACCAGCCTACAGGACAATACCAGACTACGGGACAATACCAGCCTACGGGACAATACCAGCCTACGGGACAATACCAGCCTACAGGACAATACCAGCCTACAGGTCAATACCAGCCTAAGGGACAATACTAGCCTAGGGGACAATACCAGCCTACAGGACAATACCAGCCTACATGACAATACCAGCCTACGGGACAATACCAGCCTATAGGACAATACCAGCCTACGGGACAATACCAGCCTACGGGACAATACCAGCCTAGGGGAAATATACCAATCATCCCTGTGGTCCCTAACTTATCAGACACACAAGTGGCAAGAGTTCGCTACGCAGTTAAAGATCAGCAGTTGAGTTCAAATACGGGCCTTAGTTCTTCATGTTGATGGGTATGGGAAGGCCAGCCCTTCTTTCACTAGTTCCCTGCTTGGTTAGTATGGATAGGTAACGTAAATTTCTGTAAGGCTGATGCTATTTATGTTATTTTTATGAGTTTTTATTAAATTCGCTTTTACTGTATTTGTGGTCATATTATGCTTTTTATTCAGCCTAGTCTTCTCTGTTTTGGATTCGAGGTAGCATATTGGGCAAAAGTGTCTGTCTCCAGTCTAATCCTAACGCAACGTCTCTGTTACATTACCTCTGACCTAATTTATAAAACATCACCAGGTCCCGGGCTATCCACACAGTAAATCGGTTATCACTTAATTAAGAACACCAGTCTAGAGAGTTGGATACACCACAACTGTGTTCTCGCGTTCTATCATCTCTTCATGTCGCTGTTGACACATAAGGCATTCACAAATGATCTGCCGGGCTGCTGCTTTTCTGCCCATGGTACCCCATGTCAGTTTACATCCCTTCATTTCCCGTTCTATTGTCCTTCTACGGGTTTCCTTAGGTCGTCCACGTCTCCTTTTCCCATCTGTTGTCCACGGAGAGCTGTTTTTGCCAGAGTGTCACAAGGAATTCTGCAAACATGTTCTTTGGGAGAAAAAAGATTCACTGTCGGGCTGTTGACTTCCTTTCGGCGTTGATCATCAACCGTCATTTCACCAAAAATCTGGCAAGCTTCACTTCTTTCGACCTGTTCAATGATTTCACTTGTTCCTTTTTCCGTAACAAAGTATTTATTACGGTAATGGGTTGTCAACCCTTTGCTCAAAACCCAACTTGAAAGACCAGGTTGCTAGTTTGGCTTGACTCTTCTTCTCAAGGTCTGTTCGGCATGGTTAAACCTACCAGGGAAACAAGTCCCCTGCCGGCATGGTTAAACCTGCCAGAGAAACAAGTCCCCTGCCGGCATAGCTCTGAGAGGCACTAGGGTACTCAAACCATCCCGTTACGACGTCGCATTGTTTTATACGGATGTGTGACTTGGAATCTCACTGTGGAAATCGTAAGGAGGATTCAGGCTTTCGAATGTAAATGCTATAGATGAATTTTACGAATTACTTAAAACATAAAACTAACAAAAATGTTAGAGACAAAAAAAAAAAAAAAATTTGCAGCACAGCAGGAGTTTCTCTTGGCAGTGGTGAAACGTCGCGAGCTAGATTGGTTTAGTCATGTGATGAGATATGTTTCCATTGCAAGAACTGTGTGTACTTCAAGGAACATGGAAAAAGGATGGTCGTTGAAGAAGAAGCGGACAGGGTAAACATCATGGAACTGACAGCAGTTAAGTTATCATACATTCGTTCAACAAGTGGAAGACAAGAGCAAGATGACGAGTTTTGTGTTTCAGTGCTTTCATCGATTCACCTCCACGACCCTAACGGGTCAAGGTTATATCATGTTATGTCGCATTTTCTGGGTGGATCTACAAGATCGCGTTTACAGCTACTGCATTGTTGTTCTTTTTGTCCCTCTCCACCTTCTCCTTTTTTCCTTCTCTTCCTTCTCTTCCTCCTTCTCCTCTTTTACAATTCTTTAGCTTCTTTTCCTGGGTTGCAGCTTGAAAGACTGACACGAAAATACTCAGCGAGCAGCTATTTGTAAGGGACTGTAATGGCAGCAAATTTGAGAAACCCAATTCAAGAGTATAAAACAGTTAAGTTTGGCCCCCAGTTTGACACAGTTAATAACCTGCTGTCTTGTGTCAAGAATGGTTTCTTGTTTGTTTCTTATTCGTTCGCCCTTGAAATGGCAGCGGGCACATTGTGTTGTGGTTTGCAGCTAGGTCGAATTAACTGTGCATTTTGACCCATCACACCCGATTTCAGTATTTCCTTAAATTAGTTGCCTGCCTGACTGACTGACCTTCTACCCCACCAGGACATCACACAAGCGATAAACACCCGATGACACAATGTGCCACCTTGTGGATGAGGATCACAGTGGAGAGGTCCCAGAAACCGCGTTCAGTCTTTAGGCCATATTTATGGCCTGGCTATATTGCGGCCCCCGGCAAGAGCCAGGGTGGGGCTTCAAATAACGAAAAATTGCATTCTAAAAAGGATGGTGAATGATACTGATTAGTTACCTTTTACAACATGCTTGTTAAGGATCAGTGGTTCTATTCTGTTTCCCCAAAAATGGGAACCAAAACTCACATGGATGATGGAGTGTGGATGAAAAATTTACTTTGACTTTACTTCGTCGTGTTGCACTGTCAAAGAATGTTTTATACAAAATGTTTTATATGTTGTAATATTTACATTTCTTTGTTCAAATCCAGGTTTAGGAAAGTGGTGCTTTCTCCTAAGATGAACATCTTAAACCAATGTCTCACATGTTATTTTTGAGGGACCAATGCAAGTGGTTTGTGGTCGAACTAGAGAAATAAAGCGATCAAACATGCGAAATTAACTGATCTTTAGTTAAATTGTGTTTAAATAAATCTTATATGACCAGCTAAAACATGCGACCGCGGAATTTGGCAACTTACGCCGTTAACACTGCAATTAGTTAAATAATAATGTTTGCTATACTGTAAAAACAGTTGTATAGAAAAACGCTGTATTTTTATAGGTGTATGAATATTCAAATGTTGACACCAATTTTGAATAAGCATCACCAAAAAATATATCTGATTTCTAATTTTAAGCTGTCTTAATATTAGATTTCCACTCTTCCGAATTAAAAACACATTGTATGTGTCGTACATTCCAACGTTTTATAAACACTGATTTAGCTCTTCATTAAAGACCTGTCTACGGAAATATCACTGGAATCATTACCATAAAGTACATGTGGAACAAAAACGTTATCTATAGAGTGTGTGAGTTCCGTTAGTGCTGCCATATTTGCATATCGTCTGCGAAGTCTCTTCTACTACCACTATGACCCTTCCGGAGACTACGCCACTGGCTAAGGTGATCATGGTGCTGGCGTGTGCAACCTTTCTTGTGAACATTGTTGGATTCTCTACTGGATACTGGTTGGAGAAAAGTTTCATGTTTCCGTTGAACAGAGGAGGCGTAGTCGACATGCCCGTGGACGCCAGGCTGGGACTCTTCACTGCCTGCGAGACTGAACATTACCTCAACGGAAATTCCCACACCAATTGCATAACCAAAGGGGGTAATATACTAGTTTTATTATTATTAACATTATTAGCAGCATTTTTTTCAGAAGTAGTAGCGTTAAAAATAGTAGCAGCAGTAGTAGTAGTAGTAGTAACAGCAGTAGTATAACAGCAGCAGCACTAGCAGTAGTAGTCGTATTAGTAGTATTCTTCTTCTTCGCGTTCACCAGCTGTAAACTCTGGCGGAAAGTTCTGGTTGTTCATCCACTTTCAGACAGCAGTCCTGAGGGTTGTGTGTGCATCTGTTTTACAGATCTGACTCATTTGTATGCAGACTGCTGGTTCCTTGCCTCTCAGGCAGACGCACTCCGACTTCGAAGGAAGCTCCAAATTAATCGACTCTTACGACATGCTTTTGTGTAGACAGTGGGTCTATTCTTGTTTTCCCTATAATAGAGCCCCGGAACCCACACGAGGAATAAGTAGTAGTAGCAGCAGCAGTATTTGCAGTAGTAGCAATAATAGTAGTAGCAGCAGCAGCAACAGCAGTACCGGCAGTAGTAGTGGTAGTAGTAGTAGTAGTAGTAGCAGCAGCAGCAGCAGTAGTAGTAGTAGTAGTAGTAGTAGTAGTAGTAGTAGTAGTAGTAGTAGTAGTAGTAGTAGTAGTAGAGGTAGAAGTAATAATAGCAACAGCAGCAGTAGTAGTAGTAGTTGTAGTAATATCAGCAGTAATAGTAGTAGTAGTGGTACTAGTAGTAACAGCAGCAGCACTAGTAGTAGTTTTTGTTATATTGGTAGTAGTAGTAACAGCAGCAGCAGTAGTAGTGGTGGTGGTAGTAGTAGTAGTTGCTGTAGTAGTGGTGGTAGTAGTAGTAACAGCAGCAATAGTAGTAGTAGTAATTGTTGGGCTGTACCGAATAGTGATTTTCACTATACGGCCGAATACGAATAGCTGGACCAACTATTCGGCCGAATACGAATACTAATACGAATAGTGAATCATCATCATCAGGTGCTTTGCTGACTGGAATGGGCGATCATGCCTCTCCACAATCTACTATCTCCTGCAGCATGGATTAGTTTGTGGGCTGACACACCTCCATGCCATGCAACAAGACTGTCAAGAATCTTCTCTCGTGTCTTCGTCTATCCCTCTTTCCATATATCTTTATATCTTTCCAGTGGTCACCACGTATTCAATTTTCCCTCATCTTATAATATGGCCGAAAAATGATGACTGTCTCCTTCTGATGTCTGTGAGTAGTTGTCTTCGGGCTCCCGCCTATATCAAAACCTCTTGGTAACTTTTTTTTTTTTTTTTGCTGTTCAATGTATTTTGTTCTGTAAAACCACATTTGTGGGGCCTCAAGAAATTGTTTGGTCTGCCTACCGATTGTCCAGGACTTACAGCCATATGTTAAAACTGGATGTATGTAGCAAGCAAGAATTCTTTTTCTAACCTTCAATGACAAAGATATATTGCATAAGATGTTATTTATTTTATAGAAGGCAGTTTTTGCCTGTCCAATTCTGTTTTTTATTTCAGTAATGCATCTTCCTTCTGAGGTTATTCATGTGCCCAGATACTTACATTTCTGTATTTGTCCCAAAATAAAACAATTGACTTTTATTACACATTTAGGAATAATTATTGTCCTTGATACCACCATTACTTCTGTCTTCCCACTGTTCAAACTGAGGCCCATTCGTCCACTTTCGTGAATAAAATAGATCTTAAAAAAAAATCTATAATGTCAATTGTACGCTGAAATTTTACTTTTCAAAAGCTAGTCCAGAATAGTAAACATTTAAAAACATTTCATGTTTTGCATCCTTCAGTCAGTCAGTCTGTGGTAACTAAACTTGTAAATTGTCACTGACAGCTTAGTTAATCAATGAAAACGGCATTATGTTTCGAAAAAAAAAAATCGTTCCATGTTGTCAGCATTGGGGCAGCTTCTTGTCTCACTGAAGGTCTTTCCAGCTGTACTAAACAGATGTTCACTTGGTACGCTCGTAGGTGGTGCACAAAGATAACGCTTGACAGTATGAACCAAAGTCGGAAATTTGGACATGTTTATTTTCCATCAGTCGAGAAACGGGTGTAAGGTAACCACTATTCGTATTCGGCCTGACCGCAACTATTCGGCCGAATACCGAATAGTTATTAGGTCCACTATTCGGCCCCGAAGCGAATACGAAGCGAATATTCGGTACAGCCCTAGTAATTGTAGTAGTAGTAGCAGCAACAGCAACGGTGCTACTACTGCTGCAGTAGTACCAGCAGCATCAGCAGTAGTAGCAGCAGCAGTAGTCGTGGTAGCAGCAGCAGTAACAGCAGTAACGGTGGTGGTGGTGGTGGTAGTAGTAGTAGCTGCAGTAGTAGTAGTAGTGGTGGTGTTGTAGTAGCAGCAGCAGTAGTAGTAGTGTAGTAGTAGCAGCAACAGCAGTAGTAGTAGTGGTAGTGTAGTAGTAGTAGCAGCAGCAGCAGCAGTAATAGTCTGCTTCTTCTTCACGATCACCGGCTGTATACTCCTGCGGAAAGTCCTGGTTGTTTGTCCACTTCTGGATTTTGGTCCTGTTCCAGAACTTAAGATTTGTGTGCACATCTGTTTTACCCCGTCTCAATGTCCACCAGTTGCAATGACCAACCACATCAGTGTCCAACATATCAATGTCTACCAGTTGCAATGTCCCTCCACATCAGTGTCCACCATCTCAGTGTTCACCATCTCAGTGTTCACCATCTCAGTGTCCACCATCTCAGTGTCCACCATCTCAGTGTCCACCATCTCAGTGTTCACCCTCTCAGTGTTCACCCTCTCAGTGTTCACCATCTCAGTGTCCAACATCTCAGTGTCCACCATCTCAGTGTCCACCATCTCAGTGTCCACCATCTCGGTGTTCACCATTTCAGTGTTCACAATCTCAGTGTTCACCATCTCAGTGTCCACCATCTCAGTGTTCACCATCTCAGTGTTCACCATTTCAGTGTCCACCATCTCAGTGTTCACCATTTCAGTGTTCACAATCTCAGTGTTCACCCTCTCAGTGTTCACCATCTCAGTGTTCACCATCTCAGTGTCCACCATCTCAGTGTTCACCATCTCAGTGTTCACCCTCTCAGTGTTCACCCTCTCAGTATCCACCATCTCAGTGTCCACCATCTCAGTGTTCACCATCTCAGTGTCCACCCTCTCAGTGTCCACCATCTCAGTGTTCACCATCTCAGTGTCCACCCTCTCAGTGTCCACCATCTCAGTGTCCACCCTCTCAGTGTTCACCATCTCAGTGTTCACCATCTCAGTGTTCACCCTCTCAGTGTTCACCATCTCAATGTCCACCCTCTCAGTGTCCACCATCTCAGTGTTCACCATCTCAGTGTTCACCATCTCAGTGTTCACCCTCTCGGTGTTCACCATCTCAATGTCCACCCTCTCAGTGTCCACCATCTCAGTGTTCACCCTCTCAGTGTCCACCATCTCAGTGTCCACCATCTCAGTGTTCACCCTCTCAGTGTTCACCATCTCAATGTCCACCCTCTCAGTGTTCACCACCTCAATGTCCACCCTCTCAGTGTTCACCCTCTCAGTGTTCACAATCTCAGTGTTCACAATCTCAGTGTCCACCCTCTCAGTGTTCACCATCTCAGTGTTCACAATCTCAGTGTTCACCCTCTCAGTGTTCACCCTCTCAGTGTTCACAATCTCAGTGTTCACCCTCTCAGTGTTCACAATCTCAGTGTTCACCCTCTCAGTGTTCACCATCTCAATGTCCACCATCTCAATGTCCACCATCTCAATGTCCTCTCATCTCAGTGTCCACCATCCCAATGTCTACCAGTTTCAATGTCCTCTCATCTCAGTGTCCACCATCTCATTATCCACCCATCTTTACCTCCACAGCCGCAGACTGGCAGATCATATCGGCTGCCCTGGCCATAGCGGGCCTCGTTTTCGCTCTGCTTGGTGCCATATTGTCCGTGCTGGGCGTGGTCAGAAAACGGCTTGCTGGGAGAATTGGTCTCAAGGTCGCCATCTTGCTGTGCCATTTTCTTGCATGTACGTAACTTTTGTTTTATTGTATTCGTGTAGTCGTTAACTGAAGGCAGGGCGAGAATTTAGACTTGATTAGGTCCTTAGCTGTACATATGATAGCTATACATATAAATAGCCCCTAGTGTTTTAAATTACAGGAAATCTCAGAAAACTTTACAAATATGACACCATATAAATACAGGGATAATGGAAATATATTGTCGCTTAATTTTCACTTAAAGAAATAATTAGAAATGTGCCTGCAAAATCACGTAAATTATATTAAATAATCATCTTAATGGCTCTATCAAAAGAAAATTGCACTTGTTAATTTAAAAAAAAAATGGGTTAAGTAACGTTAATCTCCCCGTGCCCCACCCATATACGCATTAGCTCAATTCTTATTGGTAGTTTCTGAACCTGTCACATTGGCACAAGGTTACGGGGGTGTTCCGCAATGCCGTTGTATATTTCAGCGCGCTAGAGCTTTTAACACTCCCAAAAAATTGAGAAACTGGCCCTGACACAACACCCCTAGAAAGTGCTGCAACCTATGTCACAGGCATTCTCTTTCTTGGAATGAAAACGTAAATACAAGACATGACAGAAAACAAACAACGGAGCGGGACCTAACAAAACAAAACAAAAGTTTTGAGGCCCGTGCAGACTGTAAGGTCGTGAGCTGCCGCTTATTTGTGCGTAAATCGGGCGCGGATTACATGTATGTGTGTGAGTGTCTGTATGTGCATGAGTGTCTGTATATGCGTGAGTGTCTGTATGCGTTACTGTCTGTGTCTGTGTGTGTGTCTGCTTGTGTGTGTGTGTGGTGAATTAAGGACGACTAGAAGATGTCGAGGCCGACCTATACTGCGTTATAAGGATGTGTGCAAGCGGGACATGAAAGCTACAGGTATTGAGGTGAACAAAATGTCATTGACCATGTTGTGGGAGAGGGGACACATCAGGAAGTGTTTGAGAATGAAGGGAGAAATGAATGCAGAGAAGATGAGAGCTGAGCGTCTAAGAAGAAAAAGATACAAATGTTGACAACAGCAGATGCAACAGTACATGCCTCCCCCCCCTCCCCCCCCCCCCCTCCCCCCTTTCCCAAAAAAAAAAAGAAGAGAACAAGAAAACAGTGAAATGAAGGAATGTGAAAGTTCATGGACTCATGGACAGAAAAGCAACAGACCGGGAGCAATGAAGATATCTAGTGAAAGCCCTTTTTGCCCAAAGCGACATGAAGAGTCTATAGCCTCTAAGTCTCCCTGACCCTATGTCTTACAAGTTAATAGCATTCTGAAGTAATGTTAAGGAGCTGACGGAGAAGGTGTAAAGTACAGAAATGTGTAAACAATTTCGCAATGTCAGTGCAGTGAGATTGTATTTTTGGTTAGTTTCACGTTAGTCTCCCCAAATATTGTAGGTCACTTTCCATTCACAAGTTTGTTGGGCTGGTCGACTTTCATGAAGGTTACGGATGTGTCCCACTCTGTTCTTTGGTTCCTGCGATGTCTTACATTTACGTTTTCATTGTGAGAAAGAGAATGCATGCGACATAGGTTGCAGCACTCTTTAGGCGGGTGGTGTTAGACTCAGTTTCTCCCTATTTTTGGAGTGTTAGAGGCGCAGGCGTACTAAAATATACAACACTCGATATTAGCGGCATTGCGGAACACCCGCGAACTCTTGAGTGAAGGCTGCGGGGCTCAGGAACTACCAATCAGAAGTGAGCTAGCTTTTATATGGGCGGTACGTGGGGAGACTAACGTTACTTTTATTGTATTTTAAAAATTGTGAAATTTACTAGATCAGGCAGTTGTTTTCTCAACTACCCTCAGTACACATGATATTGTCAAAACCTCGCCGTATTTTCCTGGAATGGCCGGAGAGCTCCTGTGACGTCCCTCCCCCTTTCCCTTGCGTTGAGTTGAGTTGAGTTAAGAATTAACATCACAGTACTCGGGGCATTCCCACGCATGCTCCGTCTTCATCTTCAGCAACCAGCGCAGAGATCCAATACTGATGGTACCGGTCACAATCTGGTTAAATGTCCGTCTTGCCTTTCCTCTGAGTGTAGTGAGCCGGCCAGACCCTCTGGTTACACCCAGGTGCCTTATTCTCTCCAGGCCATAATAATCTTGTTTCTCTACTGATTCCGTTGCTCGTTCCCAAAGGCCCTTGACCACATCTGCCTTGTTATGTATCAGTTCACCACTTAGCATACTTTCAGGGTCTGTTACAATTATGACATGTGTATGCATCTTGTTCTCTAGCCACCGGAGAGCTGCAGTTACTGCCTCCATCTCTATTCTCTTCCTGACTAATCAAATAATAATAATAATAATAATAATAATGTGCTTAATGGCAAAAAAATATACATTTAAAAGAACACGACATATTTAAACAAAAACTTGAAAAGAGAACTTCAATACGCTTTTGGAGCATCTTGCTGCCCCCCCCCCCCCCCCACGATTTGGGAGAAGGGGTGCTAAACCTTCTGTTAACAAACTGATGAGGAAAACGGAGGTTTGGGGGGGGGGGGGAGTGGCCTCCCTAAACAAACGTCTGCAATAGAAGAACTATCTTTGGACTTGACAATTAAAGAATAGTAACTGGAGCACTCCTCTGAATAATGGTCCCAAAAAACCGGGGTTAATTACCCTAACAGGGCCTCAATAGGTCATCTAATAGAAATATTAAAAACAATAAGAATGAGAGACACATTAACCAATAATAGTTAATAGTCATATCATTTACCGGAAATAACATCCTAATTTTACCTTTCATTGAGGCCCTGTTAGAGTATATTTTTAACCTTGATAATGTGGGACCATTATTTAGAGGAGCTCCGTGACTGGTGTGGCAAAAAAGGAATTGTATGATTATGCATTTTTTTTAAAACAGTTGTCTTTTGGGGATTGGGAAGGGGGGATGTTTACAGTGACAGAATGAGTTCAGTATTGATTGTCTTCAGGTAACTTCTTCGTGGGACCACTTTTGATGTTTCCTATTAACAAGACGATTCAAATCAAGCCGGATTTCAGCCCTTTCAAAGTAGACTTTGGCCTCGGCTATTCCTACATCGTCGCCGCCGCCAGTACGGTTTTGTTTGCTTTCCTGGTGTTGCTGAACATCATCGACCTCATTTGGTAAGCTCTCTGTGTGGGTTCCAGAGCTCCATTACGTGTGTGAGTGTGTGTGTGAGTGTGTATGTGTGTGTGTTGGGGAGGGGGGGGGGGTAGGCCTAATAGTGAATAGTTAATCGAAAGATAATCCTCATCGCACTAGCCCCTAAGCGATCAGATCCCCTCTTCAGTAAATCCCCCAGCATGTGGCAACTGATAACACAAGTTCTGTTGGTTTACTATTCTTCTTTGGCCACCTGTATAAAGCTCATGTTTGGCGACACCTCTTTTGACCTCAAGTTCTTAGTCTTTTGAGTGTTGCCTATTCAAGGTCGTTTCTTGAATCATCTTCTCGCCCTGCCTTCTCGAGAGCATTTAGAATATCGGCTCGGTCCATTGATTTTCCTGTACCTACCGTGGCCCCCAAATAATGCACGTTTTTGCAAATTTTCAAGAGTTCAGTCTGAGTATAGCTGATATTGAGAATGGCTAGAGCATATTTAGTGGGAGAAAGAACAAGTCGCTGGAACAGAAGCAGAAGCAGTCGCTGCTCAGTATTGACAGCGGCTAGAACCCTCATTGCTGACAGGCCTTTGCGTGCTTTCGTTGTGTGGTCGTAGTGCGGTTACACGTCCCTCACTATGAAAGATTACTAAGTGCCTAGGGTAGCATTAATACTTTTGTGTGTTAAGAGATGTTGTTCTTGTGAATTTTAATGTTCTCGATTTCAGGTCTCGCAGAGCGCAAAGAAACATAGACGAGGACCGGACTGGACTCACCAAGGCAGTCTCAGGGTTAACTTATCACCCGATATCGGTGAGAAGAAAAACTGACCTGTAATGGACATTCAATCCTAGTAGACTTACAGTAAGCCCCAGGTGTTGGTGCTTTATTAATATCCTACCACAGATGACCTCACAGTACAGTCCAACATTTTAGAGGGTGGTAAGACTGAGTTTTCCGGTTTTCTGATGCTTTTAACGACCCCAAAAAAATCTAGAACTGGCCCTAACCCCAACCCCCCTACGTCCCACGAGAGAGTGCAGAATAGGTCCCACGAGAGAGTGCAGATTAGGTCCAACGACTGCATGCAGCCTATCTACCACCCCCTGAAATATTAGACTGTCCCGTGATCTGTGGATTTCCCTTGTTTGGGGTAAGATTTTAATAAAACAACCAGGTTTTTCATCATTTACATATCAACAACATTACTAATATGTCGTTTTGGTTGTTCTGGCAATTTCCGTTTTTTTAAAGACAATACTGTTTAATTGTACTAACGGGTTGGCATAGGTATCACACCCTATGGCTTCATGTGTGGGTTCCGGGGTCCCATTGAAGGGAACAAGAGAATAGACCCAGTGCCTACCTACAATCATGTCGTAAAAGCTGACTATTTGGGAGCTTCCTCTAAAGTCGGAACGCACCTGCACGAGAGGCAATGAACCAACAGGCTGCATAAGAATGTAAAACTGATGCATACGCAACACTCAGGCTCTGGAAAAAGACTGAAGTCCAGAAGTGGATGAACAACCAGAACTTTCCGCCAGAGTTTACAGCCGGTGAACGCGAAGGAGGAGGAGAAGACGTATGAGGCTAGCAAGAGCCACTCCTGTGCAAAAGTCTTTCACAACAATAAGTATATGGAAGTTTAGTACCACTAATGCCATCATATGAACTTGGCGTTCTTCTTCAGCCCTTAACCTCTCAGTCAGGGCTATTTGACTGGTGGCCCCCAGGGACCTAGCAAGTGGCCCGCTGAGTACTGTCAATTTTATTGTATTAAAATGATGTTTCTAAGCTGGGGCCCAGTCGCTTGACGATCCCCTTCTTCAACATATAGGCCCCCGAGGACACAGTTGACTGCGATCATACTTGTTCTCCCCCCTCAGCTCCAGCTATGACATCCTGCTCAGATGAATCCGCGTAAATAACTGTATCATTCATATGCCGCTTGCACACCTCTTTGTATTCTAGCATAGCCGACCTCGACGTCTGCTACCCATATGTAATTCAATATAGAGACGATCTATCTAGTCTGGTAACAGATGTATAATTTTGTAGCAGTTTTCATTTAAATAACACTGAACACACACATTAAACATGAGAATGTCAAATGTAATGTCTACACGACCATATGTTGTGTAGTGCTGAAACCACTATATATCACATGTGACGTCTACTCCACCTACTGAATGGTGCTGAAACCAGTAAATGTCAAATGTGATGTCTACTCCACTCTATTGAATGATGCTGAAAACAGTAAATGTCAAATGTGATGTCTACTCCACTCTATTGAATGATGCTGAAACCAGTAAATGTCAAATGTGATGTCTACTCCACTCTATTGAATGGGGCTGAAAACAGTAAATGTCAAATGTGATGTCTACTCCACTCTATTGAATGATGCTGAAAACAGTAAATGTCAAATGTGATGTCTACTCCACTCTATTGAATGATGCTGAAAACAGTAAATGTCAAATGTGATGTCTACTCCTCTATTGAATGATGCTGAAAACAGTAAATGTCAAATGTGATGTCTACTCCACTCTATTGAATGATGCTGAAACCAGTAAATGTCAAATGTGATGTCTACTCTACCTACTGAATGGTGCTGAAAACAGTAAATGTCAAATGTGATGTCTACTCCACTCTATTAAATGATGCTGAAAACAGTAAATGTCAAATGTGATGTCTACTCCACTCTATTAAATGATGCTGAAATCAGTAAATGTCAAATGTGATGTCTACTCCACTCTATTAAATGATGCTGAAAACAGTAAATGTCAAATGTGATGTCTACTCCACTCTATTAAATGATGCTGAAATCACTAAATATCACATGTGATGTCTACTCTACCTACTGAATGGTGCTGAAACCAGTAAATGTCAAATGTGATGTCTACTCCATTCTATTGAATGATGCTGAAAACAGTAAATGTCAAATGTGATGTCTACTCCACTCTATTGAATGAGGCTGAAAACAGTAAATGTCAAATGTAATGTCTACTTTACCTACTGAATGGTGCTGAAATCAGTAAATGTCAAATGTGATGTCTACTCCACTCTATTGAATGATGCTGAAAACAGTAAATGTAAAATGTAATGTCAACTCAACCCTACTGAATAGTATAGAAACCAGTACATTTCAAATGTCATGTACACAACTAAATCATCTAGAAGTAAAACCTCAAACACAAAGTTATTTAATCTCAACTTTCGTGCGGAGACAGGCAACTGACCGACAGCTAGTTTAATATGAAAGTAATGTATGTAAGGAAGTGCGCTATAGTTGTTTAGTATAAAAGTAAAGTTTCACGCCTTTAGGTGTAGCGGGTATGTGGGAAGAGCACCCATATTTTTACAGACCAAATGGCGCTAGGTGGTTAATGTGGTCAGCATTATGTCGGCTGTCTTTGCTTCCCTAGGACATACATCCGGGTACCCATTTCAGACTGGGTTGACCTGCGACGCCTTATACCATAATAAAAATCCATGCATCCAGCAATGGGTTTCGATCGTGGTATGTTGGAATTACGAGTTGGACTTGCAACGACTAAGCCACAGAGGCCAGAAGAGTTGTTTAGTATGAGTGTGTGCATATTTTGCGCTGGTACCAATAGAAAAGGACCCTTTTACGGCCTTTAGTCGTGTTAATCATATAGTGCAAAATCCTGTATTTCATTGACCAATCTGCAACCACTCGGCATCACACCAGACGCCTTTACTTCCCATAATTTACAAAGTAGCCCTTTGAGACTCCATAGATTCAGAGCCAGTCTTTAAAAAAAAAAAAAAAAAGTAACTCCGGTTAGACATGAACCCACATCTTTTTGATCCCCAGGTGATCGACTAGCCGCTACATCACAGTAGCTCTCCGGTCCTGAGATGAATCTACCAAAGAATCGCCAAACAAACACTGAAACAGGAAACAAATTGATAGTAGAAACATGGAGGTCCAAGAGAAACCCTTGTTCAAATGTTGATAAGAAAGGCCAAGGGTGCTAGGCTGGAATCTATCCATATCGAAAGGGTGGTACAGTGGAATGGAGGAATTGACTATGAGCCTTATGTGACATAACCTCACAATAGGATGATGATGTTTTAAATAAGCAACAGAGTATTACAATTAAATGTTAATGACATTGCCAAGCAACTGAAATTATTTATCACTTTACTGGTGTCACCGCTGGCCCTGTCATTTTTTTAAAACATTCATATTCTTGGTAGCTTTTCATTTTCACGCTAATTAATACATAAATGATGTAATATATATATATATGTGTGTGTGTGTTTTTTTTTTAATCTTTCAATATGTTTAGGTTTCATGACCTTATTTTATTGGGGAGGGGGGGAGGGGGAGACTCACTAGCTGGGAATATTTCCTTCAAAATCTCAGTGTGTCTGATTAAGGCGAGGAACCAACAGTCTGCGAACAAGCCAGCTGTAATAAAACGGGATGTGCACGCAAAACTCAAGTTCTGGAATAAGACCGAAGTGGACGAATAACCAGAAATTTATGTAAAGAGTTTCAGCAGGTGGACGCAAAGAGGAGAAAATATATGATGAGCACAGAGATGATACCACAACAAACATCCAGCAACATATTTGATCAGCACAGAGATTACACAACAACAAACATACAGCAACACATTTGATCAACACAGAGATTACACAACAAACACAGCAACACATATGATCAACACAGAGATTACAAAACATACAGCAACACATATGATCAACACAGAGATTACACAACATACAGCAACACATTTGATCAACACAGAGATTATACCACAACAAATATAAGATCAACACAGAGATTATACCACAACAAATATATGATCAACACAGAGATTACACAACAACAAACATACAGCAACACATTTGATCAACACAGCGATTACACCATATGAAACAAATGATCAACACAGAGATTACACTGTAAGAAACAAATACACACTCAAATGACCAACATAAACACAACTAAATCACCCAGGTAAAACCTCAACACCAAGTTATCAACTCAACACCAGGTTAACTCAACACCAAGTTATCAACTCAACACCAAGTTATCAATCTCAAGATTCATTTATTTCTTCAGCGAGAATAATCTGACCAATTCTAAATCACTGTCAATCACTGGACCTCTTCTATTGCTGATAACACTTGATGTTACCCACTTTTTGCTGATGTTAGTAAACAAAGTATTTGTAAGATGCCATGAAATGGGAATTTCATAGGGATAAATCAAGCTCAAAGTATATTCAATGCTCTTTAAATCTACATATAGTAGATCAGGGCTATTCAACTAAGTTGACTCAGGGGCCAACATTTTGAAAATGGGGATTGTCCTGGGCCAGATCACTAAAACAGTATGCCAATAATCCGCGTGCCATTTCTTAGACCTCCAAGGGCCAGATTTGGCCCGCAGGCCGCCAGTTAAATAGCCCGGTAGTAGATAGTCACTAGACAGCCTTCTAATATTAGTCGCAGGCAAGATTCTTTATATAGTATATGCTATTTAGTATATGCTATTTAGTATATGCTATTTAGTATATGCTGAGTCTAAAGTCCCAGGATCTCACGTCTCAGACTGACAACAAATTTAATAACACAGACCCCGCCAGATGTGACACCTGGGATCACCACTGTTAAAACTGTGGTCTTATATCAGCCAGAGAACAAAGAGATTCCACATTTCTGATATAAACTTGCTGGGCTATCTTCCGAATAACGGTCCCAAATTATCGAGGCAGAAAATATACCCTAACAGAGCCTCAGTCACGTGCCAACTGCGCACTTCCGGCAACTTAAATTGCGCACTTTCTGCGACTTGTGCCACAGCCGAGAGTATTCTCCCATGCCGCTCACGCGACGTGGATTGGGGCTAAACTAGATGGCTGAGACTCATGAGCAGCAGCTACCTCATGTCTTGCAGCTGCCTTCATTTTATTTGCTTGTGTCCCAGCCATCTAGATTAGCCCCAATCCACGCTACGTTAGCGGCCTAGGGGATACTCTCGGCGGTGGCAGTCTAGTCCCCGGAAGTGCACAACTGACACGTGACTGAGGCTCTGTTAGGGTATATTTTCTGCCTCGATAATTTGCGACCGTTATTCGGAAGATAACCACTTGCTGCTTACAGACATCAAAATGTCACATTAATTGCAGGCTGCTCTCAGACACCTATCTTAACCAAGGATAAAGTGCGCTCAAGTAGATCTCATCTGATAAACATCAGAGTGTGGAGGCAAATGTCCTGACCTCTTCATCACGGCAGAACACAAGACCACCAAATATCTACCAATACCGACAGGTCTTCCATAGCATCTGCCAAATTGGCTTTCAAAAAACCTGTCCATGAACTTCTGCCTGTTATCTCCTTTTAGAGCAGCGGAGGGGAAACTTAATTCTGCTCAGGGCCGTTTAGATGTAACATTCGTGGGTCACATAAAACTACGTTAAAAATTAGAGTGATATATCAATACTGATAAACACCAAGAGAATATGAAAGAGCTAAGGCAATAGCCTTAATATATTACCATTATTAGAAATATCAGACGCTAAAATCCTAGGTGAAGAGTGACTTTATAAATGAGAATGATAGTGTTGTTTCAGAAAGGTTGTAAATGCAACAGCTGCTGCATGTGATGGTGGGAAGATCTCTGGCACCGCCCCAGACCTACTCATCAGGTGCAAACTTGATCACCACAACATCAAACTTATCCAGCCAAATTCCCGATTCTTTGACATTCTGAGGCTCATTGACTTTTAGGCCTCTGGAGTGGAAGACGACTGTGCCTTCATCGCTGACAGAGACACACTGCAACTCCTCTGGAGAGACATGCACGTTTTCACCTGTGTTGATCAAGGTCAGGAAGAACGGAAACCTTGTGGCCTTGCGTGTAAATATGAACACACCTGAATGGGGTGAGCACACCTGAAACAAATTATGTTGAATTATTGACACCGTTTTCGGCTATGCATGAAGATTAATTGCTATGATCAAATGTGTGTGTACACTGAATAAACACATGTAGGAAGATGGATTATGCAGCAATGGGAGAGGTAGAAGATCAAGTCTCAGGTTGGTCAAGAGCATGGTGCTGCCTGTTCTTAGCATTAATCCACTGTAAACTCCAAGAGAAGGTTCTGGTTTTCATCCACTTTTGGACACTGGTCTTGTTCCAACACTTGAATTTTCATGCTTATTCATCTTATAGATCTGTCTTACTTGTATGCAGACTGTTGGTTCCTTGACTCTCAGAAAGACACAATCAGACTTCAAAATCTTGAAGTCAGAGTGCATCTGCTGTGGGCGGAGGCAACAGTCTGCATACATATAAGCCAGATCTGTAAAATGGATATGCACGCAAACTCAACAACATCCACTTCAGAGCTTCCTTTGGATGCCCTCATTTCCCCAATCGACTAGTTTCCCATTCCAGTGCCTGTTTGGGGACACTCTGTCCTTTACCTTTCATGATATGCCAAATACATTGCTACCTTGATTGTCTTGTCCTTTACCTTTCATGATATGCCAAATACATTGCTACCTTGATTGTCTTGTCCTTTACCTTTCATGATATGCCAAATACATTACTACCTTGATTGTCTTGTCCTTTACCTTTCATGATATGCCAAATACATTACTACCTTGATTGTCTTGTCCTTTACCTTTCATGATATGCCAAATACATTGCTACCTTGATTGTCTTGTTCTTTACCTTTCATGATATGCCAAATACATTGCTACCTTGATTGTCGTGTAGCTGACGAAACAAGCAACTGTCCACAGCTCTTTGCCTTTCTTGAATTCATACCATTGAGACTAAGCACCTAAAGATCTGTCTCGAGGCCTGTGATGACAGTTATCACTACTCACATAACCCACTGAATGTTCACTACTTTCCTCAAAAAGTAAAACTTTCCTTTTAAAGTCTATGGTTAAGCACCAGCAAGGAAATAGTCAACATGTTGACAGCATGCATCTTCCCTGTAGCAACCCATGGATGCGAGTCCTAGACTATCTCCCAGTCCTTAAGGAAGAAAACAGACGTTTTAAGGCTGAAATGCTATAGAAGGATTCTCAGAAAAGCGTGTACAAAGACAATATGTCACAGGCGTGAGGGGAAGTTAAGTCCAACATGACGTGTATAAGGAGATACTCCGTACGTCACTCGGGCGCCAGTCGTTTACTATCCTGGTTGTACGGAACCTCACGCAAGACCCCTACAGCACGTCCTCGTCGTGCGCCACGGATAATGTCTCAAATGAGCATTAACAGAGCTGTCAGGGGATCTCGGAGTTTGGCGGCCCCCAGAGGTGATGTGTCCTTGTGGCTCTCATCAGCCCGCCCCCAAACGCTTGGGTGAAAAATGTTATCAAAACTCATTAGGAACATGAGTAGGTTCGACAAAAGTACAGCTAAAATCACAACCCTTGGTTAAAAGACTGCTGAGTAAAGAGAACATTGCTCAATGCTCATCCTCGGTTAATCCTCAGTGTCGTCGTCACCGCGCTGAGGTGCACCACAACAGAAACCATACATGGGCTGGCCATCCTTGTGCATCCTCAGTTGGCCCTCAGTGTCGTCGTCACCGCGCTGAGGTGCACCACAACAGCAAACATACATGGGCTGGCCAGTCACGTACATCCTCGGTTAACCCTCAGTGTCGTCGTCACCGCGCTGTGGTACACCACAACAGCAACCATCCATCGGATGGCTAAGCCTAAATGTCCGACAAAACTAGATCATACGGATCAAAATCTGACCATCAAAATTTGCACTGAAATGCAAAAGGCCGAATGTCCACACCCAAAGACCCCACTCGCCCGAGTGTTGGGATAAAACTGATAACGATATGCCTGATTCAGGATGTGAAATTCTGCCGGGCTAATGTACCTATCTGTGTGGTCACAAAAGTCCAAAACCAACGGGCTGCTCCCCGCTGACTTCCAGAGGGCGCAGCCCCTGTCGAGCGGGAGGCCTGATACGGTTGTGAGGTTAAGCAGGCATGTGCAGGACGTGACGATTCCTTGGGTGAGCCCAGAACCAGAGCGCCATGTGCCGGCTCTGCATGCATGGAAGCCTCCTTGGATGGCGGGGAATGCCCATGATCTGCCCCTGCCTCCCCTTGAGGGCCAACTGTTCCACAGGGGGTTGCCCCAAAGGGGTACTCCGGGGGCAATACCTGCGGCAAAGGAGACAAGGCGGACACCACACAAATCAGGCAGTCTCGACCCACACAAAACAATGGCCACAGTCACCCTAGAAATAGGCCTGACGTCTTCCTTCGAAGTTGGCGTACAGCTGCCCAAGAGGCAGGGAAATAAAAAACGGTTGTACACGCAAAAATCAGGTCCAGGTGAAGGCCAAAAGTCCAAGCGGACGATTAACCGGGACCTTCCACTGGAATTCACAGCCGGTGTTCGATGAAAAAAAAAAAAAAAAAAAAAAAAAAACGAAAGATTGGCTAATAAACACCATCTTGTCCTGGAAGCTGAAATATTTTGGTGACACTAAGCGCCATGGCGGACTAGGGAAACAAACCTGAAGGATTTGTACCAGGAAGGAGGGGCAGGGGCCAACCAATAAAGAAGATGGGCATATGATATAAGTGACACCTTGGATATGAACGTGAACAAGGTGGGAGAGCTGGCGAAAGACGGTTTCTTTCATGCAGACCGTGATGAGAGCAGTTTCCCAAAGAACCTGTTATATGATGATGATGATGACTCTCCTCAGGCCTATGTTTTCACATTCCCATTTAACTTTTTTTTCCACATCTTAAGAAATTCAACTTTTACAGGCATATGTTAAAATGAACTGAAAATATGTTCTTCAAAACATTGCTGCACAAATGAGAAACACAACTGAAAAGTTCTAGGCTACGCCATACCTGTGTTTTGCCAAACTGAAACGATTCATTGCTTCTCAGTTGCACAAACTCTTTGAAGGCTTTAAATGGTGTCAGGCCAACTAAGGAAGCCACACTAGCCTGAAATAAACAATGCATGGTCATGATTCATGTCTTAGAAAGAGAGTAATGACGAACAAACATGGTCTTGAGGTCCATCAGTAGGTCCCTTTTATAGTGCATAGGTCATCTAGAGCCTGTTCTGTGTGTAGTGTCTTCCAGGATGCAAACACAAAATAATAATTCTCTTCTTCGCATTTACTAGCTGTAAATTCTGGTGACAATTTCTGGTTGTTCCTCCACTTCTGGAGTTCATCTCGTTCCTGAACCTGAGCTTTCTGTGCATAATTCATTGTGCTATTTCTTCTCTGCAGTCACTGGCTGTAAACTCCAGTGGAAAGTTCTGGATGCTTGTCCACTCCTGCACTTGTTCTAGAACTTGAGTTCTGCGTGCATGTCTGTTGTTGTACAGACCTGGTTTATTTCGGTGCAGACTTTTGTTTGCTCACCTCTCAGAAAGACGCACTCTGGAACCATACTAATTTTCATGCTTTCATTCCAAATTTAGTATATCTGTGAACAGTACAGAAAAAGACCAAAACAACATATATTTTAAAGAACACTCACCTGTGGATTGTCGATCTTAAACTCTGGTCCTACAGGTAGCCAAGGTTGAACACCTGTGCCAGTGAAGCCAGCATTTTTACTAGAGTTCCACTGCATGGGAGTACGGTAGTTATCTGTCGGCTGCAGAAGTAAAACAGTTCAAGTCTTAACAAACGTTAGGTGTTTGGTAGAGTGGTGTGACAGTACAGCTGAATTACATCAAGCAATGCGCACAAATACACTAAGACCTGTTTGAAACCAACAGGAACCTGTCACACTACAACAATTACTCTGAGCACTAGCCTTCTCAGACAAGGCCCAAAACTACAGGATGCATGGATCCTTAGTGCTATACAGTTTGTACTTGGAAAAATGCACTTTCCACTGCAATCTAAACAAAAAAAACTGAACTATTTAATGTTTTCCTCTTAGCATTCACTGGCTGCAGACTCTGGTAGATAGTACTGAATGTTCGTCCACTTTTAGACTTTGGTCTTGTTCCAGAATTTGAGATTGGCATGCAAATACATTTTACAAATCCGGCTTATTTGTATGCAGACTGTTGGTTCCTCATCTCTCAAGCAGATGCACTGACTTTGAAAGGGTGACCTCCGACAACATACTTGTTAGAGATCAGTCGGTGTAGGGAACCAATACTCAGCATTCAAATATGTCAGATCTGTTAACGGATGTGCTGTAACACTCAGGTTCTGGAACAAAACTTAATTCCAGAGGTGGATGAACAACCAGAACTTTCCACTGGAGTTTGCAGCTCCTCAGCTAAAAAAAAAAAAAAAAGCTCTGGGCCCCCACCGTTTTAAATGAGAGAAAAATTTAAAATATATATGTCTTTCAACTATATAGTAAGTAAAGATCCCTTTTCACGCCTTTAGGTGCGTAGGGCATATGGAAAGAGCACCCATGTTTTTAGACCAATCGGTACGGGGGTGGGGTGTGTGTGTGTAATGTGGTCAGCATTGCGCCGGCCGTCTTTACTTTCCCAAGACAGACATCCTGGTACCCATTCGTTTCGATTGCAGTACGTTGGAATTACGAGTCAGATTCGCAATTCTTATTAACTCTTTGAGGCCCAAGAAACGCATCATACGTTCATAGATTCCTACCTAGAAGCCCAATGAACGCAAGATGCGCCGATTTTACGCCTCTCTTTACCCCTTGGGCCTGTGATGCTAAACCTCCTGGGACTCAAAGAGTTAAACTACGGATGTTGCCTTTTAACTATACGGTTAATGGAATATATTGTCATTTCATATTTAGTAAAATAAATAAATAATGTGTTTGCAAAAATCACATACAATTATTCTATACATTTCTCTATTAAAAGAAAATTGCATTTATATATATTATTAAAAAAAATTGGGAACAAGTAACAAACAGGCCCAGCTCCGCCCAGCTACACACAAGGTGACCTTTCATTAATGCTTGGTCAAGCTAATCTATGTTAGAGGGGTGTAGAATGCACTCTTGTGGAATCAAAGTTCAATGTGTGGGGTGGGGGGCAGTTTTCATGTTATGGGGGTCGTTAAACAGCTCACATCCTGTAATTAGAGCACGCGTGGTTGCCAGTAAGACAGTTGAGACAATACTATGTCGCAACAACCTGACATCCCTGCCACTCAAACGTACATGTCTCAAAAGTTAGCACACGTGATTGCCAGTAAGACAGTTGAGACAATACTATGTCGCAACAACCTGACATCCCTGCCACTCAAACGTACATGTCTCAAAAGTTAGCACACGTGGTTGCCAGTAAGACAGTCGAGACAATACTATGTCGCAACAACCTGACATCCCTGCCACTCAAACGTACATGTCTCAAAAGTTAGCACACGTGGTTGCCAGTAAGACAGTCGAGACAATACTATGTCGCAACAACCTGACATCCCTGCCACTCAAACGTACATGTCTCAAAAGTTAGCACACGTGGTTGCCAGTAAGACAGTCGAGACAATACGATGTCGCAACAACCTGACATCCCTGCCACTCAAACGTACATGTCTCAAAAGTTAGCACACGTGGTTGCCAGTAAGACAGTTGAGACAATACGATGTCGCAACAACCTGACATCCCTGCCACTCAAACGTACATGTCTCAAAAGTTAGCACACGTGGTTGCCAGTAAGACAGTCGAGACAATACGATGTCGCAACAGCCTGACATCCCTGCCACTCAAACGTACATGTCTCAAAAGTTAACGCGCATGAATGAAGGTTCAATCAGTGTTCTGGCCCAACTTCTTCACTCATAAGTGTGTAGCTAGGCCCGAGTTCGTTACTTGTTCCGAAAATTGCATTTCTGAAGGGGGAGGGGGAAAGGGAATTTGTTGAGGCCCCTGCAGACTTGAGGCCCTAAATTGCAGCTAATTTTATTTAGCTCATGCCGAAAGCCAGCACTAGCAACATGGAATAGCGAGTTTACAAGCAACAAACAGATACATATCACAGACTCAACAATTTTAAAAAAGTATATATATTTTTTTAAACACACACACACACAATTTGCACTCACATCAGCAGTGCCTGCATTGCCATCTCTTTGCCCGAACTCATCACCATAGTAGTTGAATGGAGTTCCAGGAAGCAACAGCTGCAATGCATGAACCGCAACAAGACGATCCCTATAATGGCCATCTCCAGCGTCCAGCCGGGAAGCAATTCTTCTAGTGTTCTGATCACCAAGCTGAGGACAGATTGTTCGGGTGTCAGATGATAGGCCAACAGACAAACAATATGAACAAGAATAACCAGACCCGTTCCGCTGTCAGATTTCTCCCAGCATTGCCAAAGGAGTTGTCTTCAAAAGAGTACTAGTTAAACAATGAAACCACAGGAATCAACTTAAGGAACTCAAAAGCATCTACTGAAGTCAACATTGACTTTTAACAGCTCAGAATCGTATTTGGAAAAAGCGTAAGGAACAAACCCAATTTGTCAGTCCTAGCTAAACTATCACTATTCACTCTCTCATCATGCTTTTTCCTCATTCAGTGTTAATGTCTAAATGTACACTGGTGCACCAACACGCACCTTTCAAAACAATACTATACATACAGTCAAATGCTGTAAGTTAGTCCAGGGCTATTCAACTACCTCAGGGGCAACAATTTTCAAAATCTTGATAGTCATGGGCCACAGCCCCAGCATAGAAAGATTAATATAAATACAACCCGTGGATCACCAGTTGAATAGCCCTTACTCAGTCTATGACGCCAGGCCATGCTGTCCAACTGTTTTTCTTGTTACAGAGGGTCAAGAGAGAGTAAATACAGACAGTGTTCTGTAAACAGGCATCAAAAAATTACGTCACTCAAACAAACAAACAAACAAGAAGACAATCGCACCAGCTGCATTTCGCTTCATAATTATTTTCTGGCCAAGTTTTAGAAAGTTCTGAACTCCCCCTTTAATTGCAAGCTGTTTTGTGGTTTACAGCTAGGCTGCAATGCCTGCACCTTTTGGCCTAAATGTTCAATTCCAGCACAAACTAGTTAGATGCTTAATACAACATCCTTGTTAGTGGGTGATGGATTCATTCACCCCCCCCCCCCCCCCAAATGGGTCACGAAACTACAGAGGAAGTTCCAAAATTATGTTGTTCACACTGCATTACATAAGACCTAAACAAAAAAATCCACCACTGAAGGTGACAGAGACTTTTCCATTTTCCATCACGGGGTGGTAAGGCCTTATCTAGTGCCTATAAAGAAGGTTCTCTATGTGTGTTCCAGGGCCCCACTGGGTGGGGAGATAGACCCACCACCTCCAACAAGCAGGTCATAAAAGTGGACTAATTAGAGATGGTTCCTTCGTAGTTGGAGTAGATCTGCCTGAGAGGTGAGGAACCAACAGTCTGCATACAAATAAGCCAGAAATGTTTTAAAAAAACGGGATGTGCAAGCAAAACTCAGGTTCTGGAACAAGATTAAAGTCCAGAAGTGGATGAACAACAAGAACTTTCTGCCCGAGTTTACAGCTGGTGAACCGAGAACAAAAAATTGTCAGCTTCACCAAGATTGATTGGATGAGGAGGAGAATCCTTCGGTAGCATGATTCGAACCTTGAACCACCACAATGGCAAACCGGTAAACTATTCACAACTCCCAGCAGCACTACAGGATAAAACAAGCACCAGTCTCACCTGAATTCCCTGCCACTGGTTGACATCATCAGTGAGCAGCTGCTCTTCCACCATGGTCTGGATACAACTGGCATCGCAAGCAGCAGTCAGATCCTTCAACAAGGCAGACACAACATGGAGGCGTTTCTTATCTGTCCCCCAGTACTCCCGAGTCTGATTCTTGCTTGCGTGCAGCAATGTTCCAAACAAAAGCCTGCAGTCAGATGATTCTCATCATTAATGCTCTTCATTCCAGAAAACACCAAAGACATGGAAATCAATATCGTAAACCAGAGGTTTCCAATTAGACATGACCTGTGGACCACCTTTTACTTTTGTGACCCCCCCCCCCCCCCCCTTCACTTTCAAAAGTCATAATAACTTTAATTTTCTTTTAAAGGAGTAAATTTACAGGGGAAATAAAACTTTTATGAAAAACCATTTTTATTTATGTAACTAGATTTAATAGCCTAGGTGGTAAAAGAAAGATTCATTCTCCCGTCCTTCCCTCATCTTGGTCTCATGTAGTTTCAAGTGCAATAACACCAAAATATATTTTTAAAAAATTTGTTATATTAACTTTTCAAGGGAATGAGAAACAAATTTCACAGGGATAATATTCCATGGATAGTTTACTTTTACTGATTGCTGTAATAAATAACTGAACTTCAGAACAACCTGGCCGCCAAAGTGACTAAAATTAAACTTTGTAGCCATAATGGCAATTCAAAATTTAACTTACATATTGTTCACAGTTAATTTAAAATAAACACAAAATCCTAAAAGGGTTTTGTGATTTTTCACTGCCTTGAAAACACATTTCGATGCAAGTCCTCAATTGCTAAAAAAAAATGTGTAAACACAGATGGAATAATGCTTGTAATAGTATTGTTGATATGTTTTATTTTTCTTATGTATGGAAACATTTGGAACATCCTAAGTATTAGAAATGGGGGGGAAAAAAACTCCAGATTTTGTTCAGATTTTTAAAAGCTGCTGCTGCCTTGCCAACTCACATCATAATTTGATTCTTTGAATTTCCTTGACTTTCCAAATTACTAACTAAATGAGTAAACTAACGCAACAGGCAAACTAATAAGGCTCTCCACAAGGGTGGCACCCACATCACTCAGCTATTAACAAGCCTTAATAAAGAATATGATAACTGTTAACATATGTAAACAGCAGGACTTGGAATTAACAAGTATCAAGTCTGTCTCGGAGAACAGCTCTCTAACTGCGTGGGGGGGGGGGGGGGGGGGGGGGGGGGGGGAATAGAAATACAGAGAGAGAAGGGAAGGGATAAATGTCTGACAATCAGGAAGTGGATTAAAGCAAAAAAAGAGTTGAGCAGACAATCATTCTTCTGATGCCCAGAAAAACTACAATAGTGGAGTCTGGACTGAAACGAGCCAGAAAATGGGACTGACCTCTCTCTGCCTGGTTTGTCCGAGAACTGATCAGCAACTGTGCGCAAGTCTTCCAGCAGGTCCAAGGTGCCCTCATAGTTCCGAGTGGGGCTACTCTGGAGTTCATCCACTGCATTGAGATCAGAGTTCTCCACCAAGTACTCCAGACCCTCAACGTGGAAGCCACTGACTCCAGCCTCAAACCAGAATGACATGATGTCCTGTTAGAAAATAAGCACAAAGAAGTTAAAACGATGGGCTGGCAGTCTGCGTTTGCGTTTATGAGGAAACTAGGGAAGGAAAGGGTCAGAGTAACATAAGAGAGAAAGCAACATAAATATAAAAAAATTATGAGTTGTCTGTGTCTGCAGTTGTGTGAGCAGGAGCCAGAAACAGGGGAATGGAGAAAGTCAAGGGAAGAGAAACAGAAAGAGAGAAAAGAGACGGTAATGGCAGAGAGAGAAGAAACAACAACAACAAAAAAGGACAGAAACAGAGAGGGGAGAGATAGAGAGAGGAGAGACACTGAAAAGGCAGGAGCAAGACAGAGGAGAAACAAAAAGGACAGAAACAGTGAGGAGAGAGAGAATAGAGAAGACGAGAGATAGAGAGACAGGAGACACTAAAGGGGCAGGAACCAGAGAGGAGAAACAAGAGAGAAAAGAACAGAAAAGAGAGGAGAGAGAAAGGGAAAAGACCAGAGAGAAGACAGAAATCGAATGAGGGGGAAAGGGGAGTAGAGAAAACTAACATACCTTAATTTCCTTTCGGACATCCTCATTGGTCAGATTGAGATCAGGGTAGTCCTTGGAGAACTGGTGGAAATACCAGGCCCCTCTGGTGGCCTCAAAGCTCCATGCTGGGTCACCGTGAATGTTTCTCTGTAAAATAATGTCAAGACTTCAGACTTCTATGAGAAACAACTCAAACTATGCATGACCTCGTGTGTACGCAAGACAAACCATAAAGAATGTGTAATTTGTCTTCTAATTTTCTTGACTATCTAAATATCTTAAAAGGTTGAGAAAATCTAAAAAATAAAAGAAAATATAAAAGGCAATTTACTGCCTAGCATATTTTGATGCATCTTGGTAGGTGCTTAGTACAGTAACAATTAAATAAAAAATCAATCCGTGTAGGTTCTGGGGCCCTATTATAGGGAAAACAAGAATAGACCCACTGCCTGCCCAAAAGCATGTCGTAAGAGTTGACTAATTGGGAGCTTCCTCCGAAGTCAGAGAGCATCTGCATGAGAGGCAAGGAACCAACAGTCTACACTCAAATGTGTCAGATCTGTCAAACGGATGCACATGCAACACTCAGGTTCTGGAACAGGACTGCAGTCCAGAAGTGGATGAACAACCAGAACTTTTCACCAGAGTTTACAGCCGGTGAACACAAAGAAGAAGGAATTAAAAAAAAATAATTAATTAATCCTTTAGAACTGAAATACAAAACCACTCACAAGAGCTGCCTGTTTTACCAGGGCAAATGCAGCTTCAATACCATATCTTTCTGTTTACATTAATCTAAACAAAAATGATAAATCTCTGCAGCTTTGATAAGTCCAAGGACTCTGCCATTAGGTTAGGAAAAGTTCAGAAGTCAAGACTTAATGAAATGACTGAAGCATAATGCAGACTTAATGAAGTTATATACTTAGAGCTGAAGGAACATTATGGTTAACAACTTTATCTACCAGCAGAGGTGTCTATTCCCAATTAGTATTGGGGAGAAAGAGAAGGAGAAGCTGAGACAGTGACCGACAAAGAGTAAAAGACTTGACTGAGACAGTGTCAGAGAAAGACTGTGTGAAAGAATGATAAGTGTGCATGCATGAGGTCATGCTTCACAAATGGGTACCAGACAGTTTTCAGGAAAAAAGAAGCCAATGAATAAAGCAACTGGCCCCTTTACCCTATACTTGATTAGATGAAGATCTAACCTTTTAATACCCCAATAGCTCTGTGTGTGTGTGTGTGTATATATGTATATATATATATATATATATATATAACTAAGTGAAGGAATCTTTTTCACGCTATTGGACATATATGGCTACATGTGTATTTTATAGACTTGTCACAGGTGATGTGATCAACATCATGCTAGCAAGACATTATACCCTATGAACTATTTTCTCAGAACCAGGGAACCAGACCTCCAGGACGACCTAGGGTGCGCTGGGAAGACAACATCCGTGACTGATGAGAGAAAATAAACCTGCAGATGAAAAACAGACTAACAGTCTAACCAGGTTCAAAAGCCTAGCTACATGAATGAAAATAAATTTAAACAAACAAAAAAGCCACTTTGAGTCCACAACGAATTCATAAACACACTACTCTACTTACCCAGTCATTGGGAGGCTGGCTGGCATCTCCGGGAACCCACACGTAGTAGTCTCTGTATGGCTCCTCATTCTTCACAGAGGCCTGGAACCAGGTGTGGTTCTTGCTGGTCTGGTTAGGGATCAAATCCAGTATCACCTTCACACCTGAAAGAAGGAAGTGTAGTGTGCGTTTGAACAGAGAAGGACAAGAAGGATATACACCATGTGCGTTTGAATAGAAAAGGACAAGAAGGATATACACCATGTGCGTTTGAACACAGAAGGACAAGAAGGATATACATACACCATAAGTGTGGGTTCCAGGTCTCCATGGGGGAAGAGGGGGGGGGGGGGGGGGGGCAGATCCTATGCCGCTCAGTATGCATGTCATAAAAGGTGACTAATTAGGTTTTCTTTCTGTGAATTCAGAGTGCATCTGCCTGAGAGGCAAGGAACCAACAGTCTGCATATAAATTAGCCAGACATGAAAACAGATGTGCATGCAAAACTCATGTTCTGGAACAAGTTCAAAGTCCAAAAGTGGACAAACAACCAAAACTTTCTGCCAGAGTTTACAGCTGGTGAGCACTAAGAAAAAAGATGCTCCATATTTAATCTGTGATTACATTTATCATCATCATGTTCTTCTGTGTTCACCCTTAAAAGGGCAGGTGGTATGTTGATTACAGCTTAACTGATTTCTATGCCTTTGGGTACAACACATCAGATTTCAGCAAAACCTTAAACAGTAGCCTTACAGGACATGCTTGTTAAGGGACAGTGGATCTATTCTTTTTCCCACAAATCGACTTCATTGATCAATGTCCCAGTACACAGTCATGACGGCAACTATGCTGGCATGTCTTCCTCCGATTCACCAGCCATAAATTCCGGTGGAAAAGTTCGGTTGTTTGTCCACTCCTGGACCTTATCATCTTCTTCTCTGTTCAGAGGCTGTAAGCTCAGACGGAAAGTCCCGGTAGTTCACCCAAGTGGACTTTGGCTTTGTGCCATGGCCTGAGTTTTGTGTGTACATCCGTTTTACTGGCCTATTTGTGTGCAGCTAGCTGGCTGTTCCTTGCTATTCGGGCTGATGCACTCAGATATCAAAGGAAGCTCTCAATCGACTCTTCATCATCATCATTTTGAGCCCTGCCAACTGGTTGCTGGGAACAGCTCGCTTGATGATATCCAACTTTTATGTCGATGCTTATGACATGCTTATTTGGGAAACAGCGGGTCTCTTGTTTTCCTCACAATAGGGCCCCGGAACCCATATGGGGAGGACTTTAGTCTTGATCCAGTACTTTAGTTTTATGTGTCAATCTGTTTATAGATCATGCCTACCTGTGTGCAGACTGTTGGTTCCTTGCCTTTCAAAAGTGTTAAAACAGATGTCTTACAGCACCATTTCAACTACAAATATGACAGGCCTGACTGCAGGGCACACTTGTAAAGTATAAATATATCTGGTAACTTAAGCAAGACTGATCAAATTTTCTTACCCTCCTTTCTCAGTTTCTTTAGCCAAGACTGGAAGGCCTCAAAGGTAACTCCAAACGACTCATCAATGCTCTTATGATCCACAACCCCAAGGCTGGACTGCTTGTCCGTCTCAAAAATGGAGTTGATCCACAAAGCCTTGATGCCCAGATTTTTTGTGATGTAGCTCAGCTTCTCAGATAAACCTGAAAAAAATCAGTCCCACAAAATCAGTCTGTCTATAAATGTACAATCTTTGATACTCTTTTACAAAATATCTGTACAACATATATATATCTCTAGAACAAAGGCTTGTCTCTATCCAAATATGCTGGAGATTAGTTAGTTTAATCTCAAGTATTGTATTAACTTGCAGAGCTTCTATCCCCATACTTGTGCAAGTTAAAGGAATGATACGGCAAGAAAAGAAATATACTAAGAGCGAATGCACCCAGGATGAGTAAAAGAAAAGACTGAAAGAAGAGAGATGAGAGACAGCACACCAATACAGAGAGAAAGAGAAAGAGAGAGAGAGAGAGAGAGAGAGAGTGTTTTAGCTTTTAACTACTACTTGCTGACTGCCAGTTATCAGTTGTTATAAGCACAATACATACAAAATTCCCCCCCCCCCCCAACTCAAATCTGAGATAATTTATGGGGGGGTTTAAGCTGCTATTCAGTGCATTATTAGGTACTTCTGGGGCTATCCTAAGAATAACGGGCACAAAAGATGGCGGCCGCAAAAAACACCCTAACATAGCCTCAGTCACGTGTAAATTGCGCACTTCCAGCACCCTATTTTACGGTTTTCCGGCAACTAACGCCACCGCCGAGAGTATCTTCCCATGTGGCGTGGATTGGGGCTGGGAATCACGAGCAGCAGTGTCCGCATCTCCTGCAGCATTGCAAGTGAGTCCTAGATATCTAGTTTAGCCCCAATCCACTCCGCGTGAGCGGCATGGGGGATACTCTCGGCGGTGGCGGTTGTCGCCGGAAAACCGCAAATTAGGATGCCGGAAGTGCGCAATATTGTGCCCGTTATTCAGAGGATAGCCTACTTCCGCAAGGAGAAGGGCCCTAAATTTCAATAGGGGGGAACTTTCTGGTTGTCAAAAAATGAATTAAGTTTGTGATCTAAGGTACTGGAGTAGCAAGCTATACCTTGTTAGCCAAAGTCTTGCATTCAAATCCTACTTTGATTGATTTTTTTTAAAACTGATCCAGACTCCTAGGTCGACCCAGCTAATAAAAAAGGGGTACCATGTAATGTACTGGAAAGTAAAGGCGGCCTGCAATCGCTGTATTAGTCTATAAAAATAGTTATATAGGTCTAGAACTATATGACTGATGCCCAAAGGCGTGAAACGGGTCCGCTGTTTAGCAGTAAGTATCTGCAGCTACCTTGGGTGACTTAACTGACTTTCATGAAAATGTCACTACTAGGTACACATCTTTGCAGGATTTATTACGGACACTATCTAGAAATGGCGCTTTTCTCTACTTTACTTACCATTGAAGTCACCCACTCCATCATTGTTGGAATCTTTGAAGGATTTCGGGAACACCTGGTAGACGGTTTCAGTATTGTACCACTTGAGGTCGGGTCGGGGAGGGCATCTTGGCGCTAGCACGATAATAACGATGGCGGTCACCAACATCGCCAACCAGCCCAGCCAAAATAAGATGAACAAGACATACCGCAGACGCACCCAGAACGGGTCGTTGGCATATCTCATCACCTCTTCCTTCCCCAATCCATTGAAAGATATTTCTCCTTCTGACGACGCTGATGTCGGGTCAATAATGGCTGTTTTCAACTCATCATGGTCCCCTCTGGCACCGCCATTAGCGTTTATCAGATGCGCCTTCGATTCGTCAAGATCCAGTTGAACGGTGGTCGTGTTGGATTCATCCAAGTTATTTTTTGTTCCATCATTCGCAGCTCCATTGGGATTGTCTTCTGGTTCAGGCATTGTGATAGGTTTTAAATCTGCAAGCAGATATCCAGTATAAATTTTCTAAAATAAAAAAAGGTCTTGTCTGCTCGACGAGCGACTTAAGTTCTGGCCTGATGCAATACCAGGTTAATGCCGCCTACATCCGGGGCCTTGTCGGTGACCCGGTGTCAACGGCTTCGTTCATTTTACATAAAAGGGTTGTGAAAATGATTAACCAACTTTACTTTACAAGATTTTTCTTTGCCGCTTAAATTAATAATAAATTAAATTAGAATTTTCATTAAAAAAATGTTATTTTAAGTTAGTTATATTATTTTTCATGCAATTAAGATGGTCAAACGTTTTCTGGTCAGATGCTTGAACTCCTAGACTGCTTAGATTTTAGATTACTCCTGACAGGATGATTCCTGTTCCGCCACTCGTTTGTCACGCCCGGGTCGGGCTTGAGGACAACATACGGGCTTTGTGTTTGTTAGTGTTGTCAGCATCATCCTGATGTAGCATGACCTTTACTGACTGACACTGACTTTCTACCCCACCAGGGCATCACACAAGCAATAAACACCCGATGACACAGAGTGCCACCATGTGGGTGAGGATCACCGTGGAGAGGTCCCAGAAAACGCGTTCAGCCTTTAGGCCATATTTATGGCCAGGCTATATTGCGGCCCCTGGCAAGAGCCAGAGTAGAGCTTCAAATAACGAAAAATGTCATTCTAAAAAGGACGATAAGTAATACCGGTTTTTTATGATGGTTTTTACCGCCACTTGCTGGTTTAAAAGGGCTTCGATTCTTGGTTCCTTCGTAATAAATCACCCCAAAATGACGTCACGGTAAGAGTCCAATTCAGTACCGGGAGGGGGGGGGGGGGTAAGACCTGGTTTACCAGCTTTGTGGTGCTTTTAACTACCCCAAGACGTGTAGAACTTGACCTAACCCCAACCCACATACGTCCCACGAGAAAGTGCAGCCTAGGCCCCACGACTGCAAGCAGCCTATCAGCCACCTCCTTAAATATTGGACTGTCTGTTTGGGGTAAATAAAAACGGAAGCACTCGATCATTCAGTTTTATGCAGTAATACACCTAGGGGGTCAACCTTCTCTTCATCTATAACAGTGGTCTTCAATGTGTGTGTGGGGGGGGGGGGGGGCGTGAGGAAGTTTCAAGGGAGATCAAGCAATTTGAATCTGAGAGCATTTGTACTTGACACAATCGGGATTATCAGCTTTAACAGTTATGAAAACAGAGCAGCGTTGCCAGCTTGGTGTGGAGAGTGAACTCGGCCGTACTTTGTCCAGCATAAGACCAACATGGCTGACATCAAGTCAGAACAGTGTCTACAGTCACACTTATATTTGGACACTACATTAACGGTTGCTGATGATTGTTTCTTTTGTTATTTGACACTCTGAAATTATGTACTTTTTTTTTGGGGGGGGGGGGCAAAGTTCTTGTTAACAATATTTGGGATTATCCCTTTTGTCCTCTTTTTTAATCACATATAGTTATGGTGGGGGAAGGGTGAGTAATCATTCCATATACTCAAGGCTGTGGAGGGGGTGGGGGGGGGGGGGTGCCGCCTAAAAAAAGCCTGGAGCTCAGTGGTCCATAAGTCTATACAAAGTCTATAATGACTGTCTGGTCTACAGGTTGAAGAAGTCAGTCAGTAGCCTCTTACGGCATGCAAGGTAGCTACAGAATCACTGTTTTGCTTTCCCTATATCTCTTTATAACACAGGCGATACCCGAATACTGCAAGGGGTCATTACCCCACTTTTATCACTAGAGAAAAAAGTTCCCCTACTCACCATAAAGTGTTTTAAAATGGTGCCGGTACCCACCACAAAGTGTCTATTACATGGACCTTTTCCCAGTTTGCAAATTTAGTAATTTCAGGATGTGTTACATACAGTTTTATGTATTCTTCCCTATAACGTTTATGATCCGGTTGCTTTAACTTCCTGTATCAGAATCGGGGTTGACAATCCCCCTATACTAGATAATCTTATTCACAACCGGTACAGGATACAAGCTATTTTCATTTGACTACACAACACCCAGAGAGCCGCCGTGGTGTAGCAGCTAGACGCTCGCCTGCAAGATCGGAAGGTCGTTGGTTCGGGTCTGGGCGTGACGAGACTTCTTTTTTTTTCTTTAAAACTGATCTTGGTTTGCAGTTCCACCCAACCTTTGAGGGAGAACCAGGTACAGTCCTGGGAGATAAAGGCGTCTGGCGTGATGCTGACCACTTTACCCACCGAGTACCGATTGGCCTATGAAATATAGGTCTAGAGAAGTGGTTCTCAACCTTCCTAGAGCCGCGACCCTTTAATACAGTTCCTCATGTTAGTGGTGACCCCAAACCATACAATTATTTCCATCGCTACTTCATAACTTCAATGAGTATTCGTTTTGCGATGGTCTTTGGCGTCCCATGTGAAATGGTCGTTTGACCAAAAAAAAAAGGTTCGCGACCTACAAGTTGAGAATCGCTGGTTTAGCGCAATACGCTTGAAAGCGTGGAAAGAGGTCATTTCCTTTGCGAATAATGGTAATACAAATGCTAGCCTCCCCATTTACACAGTGTTACACACTAGCTCACTTCATATTGGTCGACCTTCAGCCTAGCTCACTTCTGAGCTACCTTGCCAGAAGGTTAGAGGGGTTTCCTGCAATGCCGTTAATATCGCGTGTTGTATATTTCAGCATGGCAGCGCTTTTAACACTCCATCAACAACTGGGTCTAACACAAAACCCCTTTAGAGGGTGATGAAACCTATGTCACAGACATTCTCTTTCTCGGAATGAAAATGTAAATGCAGGACAACCAAGAAAGCAAACAACAGAGCGGAAAACCCGTAACCTGCAGGTAGACCAGCCCAAAAAACTTATGAATAGAACGTGACCTGCTTTGTTTGGGGAGACAAACGTTTGTATAACCGCGAACAATTGTTTGTTTTCTAGTTTTGACATGGGGCAGTGACGGCAATGTCTGTGATTTTCACGGCAACCAGGCAAGTATGTCGTGACCTTTTTTTTGCAGTGAAGGTGAAAGCTAGACTGCAAACCAAGGCTGCTAACAGGACGTTAAAAAAAAAACCCAAGCAATACACAAGCAAAGAACAAAAAACAAAATTTAAAAAACCCAGATTGTTGAAAATTACAAATTTTATAGTTACGAAAAGAAACCTTTACCCAGTTTTACATAAGGATATATTTAAAAAAAAACACCCAAATGTCAAAATTTGAACCCAAGGCGTCGAATAAAAACCCAGATCTGGGGGCAGAAACCCATCAATGGCAGCCCTGCTGCAAGCTACCGACGTTCAACTACAATATTCTCATCAGGCCAGTTTTGCGGCCGTTGAATGTGTTAGGCTCTTTTAAGGTCAGTACTGGGGTCATCTAAGGTCAGAGCTAAGGTTTTCTTAGGTCAGAGACGCTGGAGCCTGAAAGTTCAAACATCCCCTACCCCCGAAAATTTTTTAACAGCTTAGCTTTAAACAGCTAATCCAACCATGTTTTGAAGTTTACTGTTCAGTATTTCTTTAACAATTAATTTTTTTTCCGTAGCGTTCAGTGGCTGCACACCCTGGCGAAAATGTCTGGTTGTTCGTCCACCTCTGGATTTTGGCTTTGTACCAGAACTCGAGTTTTGCGTGCAAATCCGTTTTACGGACATGGCTTATTCGCATGCAGACAGTTAGTTCCTGGTATCTCAGACAGATGCACTCCGACTTCAAAAAAAAATACCCCTAATTAGTCGCCTTGTACGACATGTGTGTTAGGGAGGCAGTGGGATATTCTACCCCCCTCCCCCCTACTCAGGTACTGGGACCTACACGGTGATACATAACAGTTCATATGTTTTCCAGTACACCTTTATATTTTTTTATCATTCATCAGGTAACAATAATCATAATAATAATACTGTTACGCACTTAAACAAGGCTTAAACATATTGGGCTCTGTAGAAAAACTGTAAGGGGGTTATGGGACCCCCTCCTCCTACTGCCTATCAACATTTCCTTTGTTTCGGCGCCCCTAAATGGTGGCGGCGTTCTCTTGACTTCTACCAGTTTGTACCTGGTTCAACTCCACTGGCTTGTCTCTGAAGATACGGATTGTCTAACCGGCAGTTAAAGAACGTACAGTGAGTTGATGCGTATTATATGAGTTAACACTTACATACGATTTTATAGAGAAAACATGATAAGACAATTTCGGGCAGACATGTTTACCAAGTATCATACCGGAACACCTACTGAACGAAAAGTGCATGTCACGATCAAACATCCGGATATATTCAGCAACAAACAACACGCCAGCAGCAATATTTTCTGTCCTACAGGACATCCTTGAGTGTATATTAGGGAACGTAGTTGAAGAAGTTACGTTTAGGAACCACTAGACAGGTTCTTTGCTAAAAAAAAAATATCGTCACTTTTAGCCAGTATCCCATTAGGGAGAGCTATAGGTTATAATTGTGATTAGGTTATGTGCGTCATATCTAATGGCCGAGCACAGTACGCTACTTAAAGCCCCGAAAAGGACTCCTTCAGTGTTGATGCGATCAAAGCAGACAGACCCAAATACTGTCACGACCGGCGACGAAGTAGTCTATCGGCGAGCCAATGGACGACCCTGTCGTCGTCCACAGAACATAATTATATAATATCTTCGGCATAATGTACTTTGGTCCTGTTCCAGGACTTGATTTGTGCATGCAAATCCGTTTTACAAATCTGGCTTATCTGTATGCACACTGTTGGTCCATCGCCTTTTATACAGACGCACTCCGACTTCGAAGGAAACCACCCTAGTTAGTTTATTTGAGTATGATTGTATCATGTGTATCGAAAGCCACCTAACGTGACAAAACAATGAATATGAAAAATACTGTCATTTTACGGAAAGTTAATATTTCTTGTAATCCTACTTAACTGATTGTAAGAACCGATAACATTTATCCAGGTCAGTTATCCATCCACACTTATGGATTGGGAGTTGGT